TAGTCGTGCATGCCGTAGTCGCTTGACCATTGACCTCGCATCCCTACAAAGCCGGGACGGAGCACGCCGGGTTCTCACCGGACCAGGCTCTCACATCACCAAGCGCGAAGCGCCGTGAGGTATTTGGCGAGTCGGGGGGGGAGGGGGGGGACCGACAAGTGAGCGGTGGGGAACGCATGCATCTGCTTTTGGTCGAGAGGGAGGGGACACACACGTGAAGGTGGTATCCAAGTAGATTCTTGGGTCCTGGCAGCGCGCGCGCGACGTGTGTAGGACTTAAATGTAATACTTGCGGCGACCGCGCCAACCGGCTGACCAGTGAAAAGACGCCCGGCTGAGCGCGGCTGAAAAACGCTTGCCATGCAATCTGTCATTCGAATCGTTGGGTATCTTGTCTTCCGCACGCACCCCTCGCGCGATGACTCCGATCCCTGCGCGGAAATCGAATCAACATCTTTCGGCTCTCGTTCAATAATACTATTACGCACGACCCCCCTGCGAGATAACTCCGGACAGCAGCTGTGGCATGTAGCAGCTATCGGTAGTGGGCTTGTTGCTAACGACGAAAACAGCGACAAACAGCATCACGACACTCGAGAACACGGCCACCACCACCGCACCTGCGACTCGCCAAACGCCCGCTGCCACCGCTCAAGCTGCGGGGCGTAGAGACCCTTCAACAGCGGCGTGTGGCTCTTCTCCAAGCCCTTCTGGCACGCCCAAAGATCGGCGGCGGATGCCCCTTCCCCTAGGCATCTCTTGTCGTAGGGCGAGTAATCCAATACAGCCTGGGGGGGGGGACATGGATGTGAATACATACATAGGGGGAGGGCGATGCAAGGCAAGTTAATCACAGAAGGTGTGGACTTGTGTATGTGATGCCTGCGCAGAGGCAATCTAGACTGCCAAACCACACAGCACTCTAATGGTCGCAAAATACATCGTCTTCACACTGGACAAGATATTTCCATGCCTTCGCGTTCAACTACAGCGTATGCGCCGTGGATTACACAACCTATTCCCGGGAAGTCAGGCTGCTTTGCAGCGCTGAAGGAGGAGTATACAACAAAAAACACGTTGAAACAGATCGTCGAACTCACGTCGGACAGGTAGTCCTTGCTAGCGGCAGGCATGGCGTAGGACGACATGATGTCCTCCCAATCTACCTCGTCCGCGCACAGCGCTTCTCTCAATTCAGAGTAGTACCTTCGGCAAAGAGAGAGAGACAGAGATAGAGAGAGACAAGAGCAGTGGGTGGGTGAAGGACAGAGGCACAGAAGGGAGGGCGAGAGTGACAGGCGTGTGTGAGCGGAGAGGAGGGGGGGACAGAGGCGGACGGGGACAGGAGCCCGAAAAAGCAGTAACAAGGATCCAAAGGACACCATACGGTGCACCAAGTCACACGGACTGCTGTGACGAGGGCGGTAAACAAACGCACGTCGGTATGTCCTACAAGTATTACATCCCAAAACAGCAGAGAGTAGAGAGCATCTCTTCGTTCAAACTCGCCGGGCATGGAACAATCCAACAAAAAATCGAGGCCGAAAAACACAAAAAACACACACACAAAAAAATAAACAAATACTACCCACATGGTCCTTGCGACCAACCACGGGGGCTCCGTCGAATCACCCTCAAATAGACTTGACTTAACGCTCACCTGTTCGTGGGATCTCTCAGCACCACGACGATCTTAACGTCAGGCATGGCCAACTTCAGCCGATACGGCGCCAGGTGCGACGCGAAGTACCCGGGGCTTACCGCCGTCGTGACAAGCTGCGCGGAAGCCGGGGGGAGCGGGGACGTGTGGCAGGGAAAGACTTTCAAGGGTGTTGGGGGAAATCGTCCGTGGTGCTTAACCCTTTTGAGTCTTCAGGCGTTCTCACTGATCATTGATTGATCATTTGCAAATGCTGGTGCAGTGGCAAGTCGTGGAGTTGCCGCCCTGCAGCCCTTCGCGCCCGTGTATTGGCAAGTCCATAGGTAGGTGTGTCTAGATTATTAGCACCCGCGCTAACCGGCTGACCAATGAACAGTCGTCAGTGACAGCGGGTAATATCAACGTCGTCTCGGGAATGGGAATGGGGCCAATCGATGCCAAATCATGAATCTCTCAACGTATGTACATGAACGTGTGTGTGCATGCATACATGCATACATACATACATACATACATACGGAGGGGTATTGCAAGCCCTGCCGAAGCCCAGATATCGAGGATATCGTGGTTGCTGCATCTCCCAACAATTTGAAAATCGTTCCCAAGATCCAGCAGTCATTGTGTCAGCAGCTACAACAAACGCTACAACAACACTACACTACTACTGCTGTAGACGAGTAGCACATATCAGCAACACATCCACACTCGTAGCGCCACACATACCCTCGCCCGAACGTAGGAAACCACGAGGTACGGGTGCATGCTGGTGGATGTGCTTGTTTGAAAAACACAGGAGCTCTAGAGAGCTGGCAGGCCACATATCGGGGGGGGACAGAGAACAGAGAAGTACAGAAGTACAAATGCCAGCTATGGGTTTTCACTGATCATTTTACCCTCTCTGGAGTGATCATTTACAATATACCGAAAATAGACTAGTTGAGGCAGCTAGACAACTGATCATGAAAGTCTACACAGGTAACCTGCCCTACTGACCGCAGTGCGACCACCCATCAACCCTTCTACGACCCTGTCTGTGGCCACCACCCTGTCGCCGGCTTCCCTCATAGCCTACAGGTGGAGATAGCTGTTGCGTGTGCAAAAGTACACTGGTGTCTTTCTCTGCACTTCTCTCCGCTCGCTCTCGCTCTCATATATATATATATTTTTTTTGGCGCAAAAACAAAAATCTAACGGTCCAGCCTAGACCCAATGGGGTTAAGGGACGTTTAATACTATTAATCTTTGACATAGAGAGGGGGGTTTCGTATGCCTAACCTTAACCCTAACCCCAACCCCCTACTAAAACCAAGACAAATATACTCGCGATGGCTACTGCTTGAAGACTTTCGTGGTATGCACAACTCCGTAGTTTGCACACATCAACAAGGGACGACATTTCAGGCAAAGACGGACGAGGACTTTGTGCGCGTTTTTGTTCCATGCACAAGAGTGTTTTTTTTGTGAGAAACCATGGTACTTGCAGGTCTGGGTTCAACTCGAGCGGATGTACTTGTACCTCGTTATCACGTGCTCGCGTCACACGCCATACTTAATTGTTGAGGTGTCCCGCCAATTCCAGAGGAACTCGACCGACCTATTTCGCTGTCTGACATACTCGGGTATTTGTTAGAAGCCCAACCTGCCATCACCTGGGCGTCTCTTCTTGCATCGAGGTGTAATATACCCACTCTGCGTATGCTACGAGCATGCCAAACGCGCCGCCCTTCAACGCGACCTCCTAAAGCGGCAAGCGGGCGAACACCGGCAATGGGGTGAACACCACAGACGGGTGCTAAACGGAAAGAACAAAGACTACAGTGCCGAGAAAAACGACGCAAAAAACTCACGAGATACCAACCTCCCCCCCCCCCCCACACACCAAGACTCACGTTGGGCGCGTCGACCCCCTCATGTCTGCTCTCAGACACCGTGTACGGCCGAGCAAACTCCTCCAACAGTTTCCCCAAAACGCTCGCCGGCAGCTCCTTCTCGAGGTTGTCGCCGGGCCATTCGGCTTCTTGGGGGAACCTGCCGGAGAAAAAAAGGCGGAGGGACCGAAGGGACGGGGACGAGGGGAGGGGGGCACGGGACCGGATCACCCAAGAGCAGACACGCGTCGTTGTCAAGCGAGTGCTAACACCGCCGCTCGCCACATCCACCTATTACACCGTTCGGTGGTTCGGCGTTGGCCTCTCTTCGAAGGAGCTTTTAAGGTCCAGGGTCACGCAAGAGAAGGAGATAATTTTTTTGTATTAGATCCTCATTAATTTATACCTTTTTCTTTTTTAAATTTCGTTTAAAAAGGCTTTAACATAATTTAAAAAAAAAATAAAAGTTACAATTTTTTTAATTAATTTTAGTGTTTTAAATACTAATAAAGCACTTCCACGATTCATTCTTTCGAGCACATGGACCCTTGTCTTCTCTTTCGTAAAAAAAAACAAGATTTGAATGTGTCACGTCAGTGCGCGGGTAGAAAATGGTTGGCTTTGTCTTCATGGCGGTGCCCAGCAAGACGCCAGAGAAAAGGGTGGAGGCAGACGAAGAAACATTTTGCCTCCCCTGCCCCACCCCCCGCCTCCGCTGGCTTTGTAGGGATGCGAGGTCAAACGATTACGGCATGCACGACTATGAGTACCCCCCCCCCCCCCCCGCTTGTATACTTTGTCCATCCGCTCGGGTGGGGGTGCCACCCAAGTCACGGGGCACCTCACCCAATTACACGGCTATTGTTTACACAACAAGTACCACACGCGCACACCACCCACGAACAGCTCCCCACGCCCAACCACGCGGGATATCCATATTTTAAAATCAAAAACACTCGGTGTTCGCATAACTTTTGTCCAATTAGAAACCTTGGATCTGCAGGCCAGATTCCTTGGATCTGCAGGCCAGGTTCGTTTTGGATTCCAAGAAAGCGACCCTTCCCTCCCCTACTATTAAAAGAAGTTGTAAGCATCTCAAAAGAGCGCGAAAAAGGAGGGCGTACAGCAGCATGTGGCTACTAAATAGAAGTACTTCGCTTTTCTCACGTTTCTGGGTCCTGCGCCATGAATCCGCATGATAACTCCGGACGGGGTTCGGGGGCCATCGAACCTACCGCGGGATGCTGGCTAAGCATGCTGAACAGCGTCGATGTCCCTGACCTCTGGGAACAAGAAGAACAACAAAGAGAAACAAGCAAACCAAAACAAAAAAACAGGAATAAAAAAACACAAAAGGATAAAGAGCAGCACGCAAGAAAGCGCGTTAGACTCCACGAGACGAGACAAAAAAAAACAAAATAGACGGAAAGAGCGCAAAAAAGACGCGTCACAGCCTCAGGACGAAGACACGAACAACGTTTGGCACCGAAACAGAGCCGGGCAACAAACACAAGCAAAAACTGTGTCACCATGGATTAGAGCTCCTACAATACCCGGCAGAAATATTGTGAGCTCTGATTTATAAAGTGATGCACAAAAGAAAAAAGAAAAAAACACGCACAGAGCGTGTTGGGGGTGCAACAGACGAATGGCACCGTCGTGCCAGTCGGTCCGGGCACATACAGAAATACATGCATGCCTTGGAGTAATTTTAGGAGACCCTCGGGGGGCTTTCTGTGTTGTGTAGTCAAACAGGCAGGGCCCACGCGGATCAGACAATGCCTCCAATAGACTGCTGCTGTTGACGATACCCCTGGCCGGTACACACACATATGTACAGTACGCACGCCTATTGTACAGCGTACGCACGCCTATTGTACAGTACGCACGCCTATTGTACAGTACGCGCGCCTATTGTACAGTACGCGCGCCTATTGTACAGTACACACGCCTATTGTACAGTACGCGCGCCTATTGTACAGTACGCACGCATGCTGTACACTACGCTAGCATATTGCACGCTACGCAAGCATGCTGACTGCCGCCGCAACTTCGAGTGAGCGTTCCGAGCGACGGCGTTCGCCTTGAGCGTCTACGTACCCGTGCCCCCACGATGATGACCGAAGGAAGCGTGACATGCTTCCCGTCCAAGGGCACCACTGGCATAGCCGCCGGCCCGTCTTCGGCTCTCGACCTCTCCTGCACAAAACAAACACAACCACGACAACAATGACGGGTGTTAACTCACAACAAGGCGTTGTGCATCCGAAAGGTTTTATCGTTCTTACGCGTGCGACCGTCGACACGAGCACCGAGAGTTTCCGGCCGAAAGAGAGAAGCCGAGGACTGCCCAACTTTGGCCGATTCTATGCTTTATCCAATATGTTTGCATACTTGAAAAAAAAAAATCGAGATGCGGCGACATGGAACACCGTGTAAATGAGGCACCTTTTTTTATTTCATCATGCACTGGGCAACATGTAACGTCTGCTGTCGACGACGTGCAGATTTCAACCAACGCCCGCGATGACACCGCCGGCGGCGGGGGGATTGCGAGGACATCATGCAACGACTCGTATCCAATTTCGAAAGACGCATTGCTGTGTATTGTACGCATACAGAAGCGGCCCGCCCTCAAGACCTCGGGAGTGAAGAAATTCAGGCTCAAGAGAAGAACTTGGCTACAAAAGAAAACATGCTCAGTCAAGAAGCCTACACCAAAACCTATATAATCGCCGTAGGGGTAGCCTACCCCGTAGACAAAGCACGAATCAAACCTCGCCCAAAAATACGAGGTTCTTAAGTGCAGGCCGTAACTGCATACGGAGTACCATGTATCATTGCGGTAGATCTTTCGCTCGCGGAAGCGAATCCTCAGGAGCCGCAGGGGTGTCATCTCTTGTCGGAGCGCGACCAAACCCGTGTGACGAAGAGTTTCCAAAAAGTGTGTGTAGCTTCCTCCTCACAGGCCAGCAGAGATGGTAATTCGGTGCTCTATAGACCTCGTTCTGGTCGAACAAAGGCGACTATATATTGAAGTGACATACTTTGGCGGAAATTACAGAAGGCCCCTCCATCTCGTTGGTTGGAGGAGCCCAATATTAAGAGCCTTTTTTTCCTGCCTGGGGATGAAGGGGAAAAATGTCACGCTTCGCGCTCCGCGGCTCATTCTAAGGGGGTCAAAAACGGTTGGTCACGGACCCGACCCGCTAGAGTATACCAGGTAGGTGGGTACTCGTATTCCTGTTGAAGACGGGGCTCCGATGAAGAGGGTTGAGGGCCTTTGTCACACCACCCTCTTATATCGGAGCCACGCTGCACTGAAAAGGGGGCCGGTTCTGCTGGCGTATGAAGACATATATGCATAGGGAGGAAACGGAATACAGCAGTAGCGGCTACGATTTTAAGGGAAATTATTGAAGACAAAGTGCGGATTGAAGAGAGTGAAATAAACTGGCATGTCCCGACCAAAATCGATTTAAAGAGAGAATTGCTCTTATTTCTGATATGTTCTCTTTAAATCGAACACCTGCAAGGCCACGCGGACATCACACACAGCTGCAGACACCGTGCCCGGCGCAGCGGTCAGTCGCTGCACAGCTGTTTCCGGTAACACGCCAGGCCCGCCGAAGTTCACAAATCACCAAGCAGACGTGCATGAGAGACTATCTGTCCCTGTTAGAGCAGAGATAATTAGTGTTGAGGCAGACAGGCCGAAAGGGGTGGGTCGATTTTCTACACTCTCGTTGATTTATATGCATGCATATTGTAGCGCGTGGTTTTTTTTCGTAATGTGAAGCGCGTTGTGTTCTTAAAACTCGTTCTTTCTATGGGGGTTGAAATGGGGGGTTGTACGGTGTTGTGTGCAGGGGATGGGCCGGGTAGGAGTGGTTCAGTGCGTGCGTGGGTGGATTCCTTGTTGTGTGCTGGTGCATCCGTAGGCTCGTGTTGTCCGTCTAGAAGAGGCGCGAGCATGAAGCACAGCTACAACAACTACAACCCAAGAAAACCACAGAGTTTGATTGTATCCACGTGCAAAAAAATGCATCGCACGAGACCATGATTTATATTCTCAACACAAATACCAATAGCGTACCACGTGCTCGGGTTTAATGCTCGCCAACCAACAGGTTTGGAGTAAACGGCACAAGTGCTGTGAGCGCTGATTTGAATTGAAGAAAAAAAAACAAGGGAATTAGACAAAAGTGGGTATACCCACCCCTTTCTCAGACAAAGGTGGGTACTCGAAAAATTGCTTTGCGGAGACCTCTCGTGACAGGGCACAACCACCAAAACATCATTCCGATGCATGGAAAACATGGGCAGGGCCCATGGACAGCATGAACATCAACTTTTTTTTAACACGTCTTCACCCTACACACAGCCGCGGCGAACAAGGCCTCAACAGATTGCCCCGACTTTGTCCGAAACTCTGGTGGGTATACCCACCGGAATCTGCGCATATTTTCATGTACCCACCTTTGTCTGCTTCGTGACCCACTTTTGTCCGAAATGTACCCACTATTTACTGCTGTTGTCCGAAATGTGTACCCACTTATTGCCCGATTTTTCATTCGAAAATCGACCTCCACGTCACCGCACAGGGGAACTGTTCAAATGAAAAACATCGGACAAGAGTGGGTACATTTCGGACAAAAGTGGGTCCCAAAGCAGGCAAAGGTGGGTACACATGAAAAAAAAACAAAATGGAGTTGTAACAGTCGTCTACATTCCGGTGGTTACCCACCGGAATTTCGGACAAAATCGGGCAACCTGTTGTGGTCTTGTGCGCCGCGGCTGTGTGTAGGGTAAAGACATGCCCGACAGTCAAAAAAAGTTGACGTCTATGCTGTGCATGGGCCCTGCCCATGTTTTCCATGCATCGGAATGATATTTTGGGTGGTTGTGCCGAGTCACGAGCTGTCCCCGCAAGGCAAATTTTCGAGTATTAAAAGTGCCCACCTTTGTCTGAGAAAAGGGTGGGTACGGTATACAGATGGCGCGCGCAATTCTGTTGAGAAAAAAGGCTCAAGTTTTAACGAAAAATAAGAAAAAAGGGCGAAGAACCATAGCTCAATCTCGGCCACAACGTGAGAAACGCCCGAATAAGAAACATGATGGTGAGATACCCCCGTGACACCAGAAATTTTCGGTGCTGCCACCCCCCTACCTAGCTACAGAAGTGCATTTATGTTTGAAGAGAGGAAGAGTGGTTATTTTCGCGCCCCCCCCCCGCCCCTGCTGTTCATTGTGCTGTACTGCTGTAGTACTGCCACACATCGTGGACAACCACATGCTCTCCGCTGTTGTACGTACGGGTTTGATGGCACTACACTGCCTCTCTTGAGGGCTTGATGAAGTGCATTGTCCTCAGAGATCAAAAGAGAGAAACATGAAAATACGAAGGACTTCTAGGGATAAGAGAATCGGGAGGATGCGACAGTCCAAAAAGGAATAAGATACACTGTATGGCATTCAAGAAATGGACGACTTGGGGCTGGTTCTTCGACCCAAAATAACAAAATAACGGATTGAGGCTCGACCCGATTTTGACGTTCTTGATCGCGGGCGCTACCTGTACCCCCTTTTTGTCTATTTCCCATTAAAAATGGACCCGAGGGTCCGCAAGTCAAAATGCATATGCATACAATCCTCCAATACTCGACGTATAAATCACCGACAGATGGCTTTGGCCTGTACGTAGGGTGAAAAAATAGCTGACCTTGTTATGCAGAAGACTACATACTGCAGCGGTTTGTGTGGCCCTTGTGTCATGTTTCTTCGCCGATCGGTTGCAAGAAGGGTGGAGACGCGGAGACAAGCGAGCACAAGAGTACAACAATGGGGCTCCAAGTGTGTGTAGCCCCCACAATGAAAGCACCAAAGAGCGCTTCTTTCGGTTCTGCTGCGGGGAGGGACCCTGACACACTCCATAAAACGCAGGAAATACCTATGCATACGATACTGACGCGCGGAATCAAAATAGAGCCATTCCTACGCTACGACAAGAAATTCGGAAAAAAGCCTTGGGGTGTCATTGTTGCACATTTGCATAGAAATGAGAGCGCACGATGATATAAAATACACGTGTTGCGGTCCGAACCAAGGAGGAAGGAGGAATTGGAACGAGATATTATGGCGAACACGACGCACTCCACCTACAATTTGCGCCGCCTCGTGAGAAAGGCCACCGCCCGCGGGATGTTCCGTGAAATGTGAAAATGAGTCCAAACCATCACCCCGGTTCTCGGAGGAAACCGAGCATCCCCGTATGCTGTACCGCATGCGTAGTCACTGCTGTACAACCACTGCCTGCCGCTTGCTTCGCTGCCGATGATCTTTGCGCGGAAAAAGCAAATAATAGGTTGACAAGAAGCCTTTCACAGGGCAGCACGGCTGCTGTGCGGGAGAGAGGAAGCTATGAGGAGCAGAGAGAAGGTGGCGAACCACCGAACCAAAGGAGGCGCGCGCGTGCATATTCTCCCTCTGGCAAGTGTACTACATGTACATGTACTGCTTGCTGTACGCAAACGTGGAAACGAGCGCACACCAGACACAAAACGTTCGTCGTCCGATGGAATGAATGTTAGGCCGAACACGAGAAGACGCACAAGGGTCCTGGCCGCAGCAGATAGCGATCGCAGAGGGGCACGTAACACACGCACGCACGCCAGCGAGAAACTCACCACGAACTCCTCGAAGCTCTCGAAGCGCCTCAAGCCTCCTAGAAACGCAGCAGGGGGCATGTTCTCCACTTCCTCCGCCTGCTTCTGCGGCTCCTCCTCATGGTCTTGGTCTTTCACCACGACCACCGCCGTGCTGGGTGCGGAGTCTGGGTCTGGTTCGCTGCTAGCAGAATTTTGAGCCGCGCTGCTGGTGTGGATGCTTCTGGGCGCCTCCTTCATCTCCGCCACGAAGAACACGAGGCAGAGCGCCGCCAGCAGCACGCACACCGTGCGAGCCGAGGTCGAGCAGCTCGGCCGACCCTGTACGGCTCTTCTCAGCGAAGCGAATCGCGACCCGTTTGATGGTGTAGCGGCGCTTGCTGCCGTTGTCGGGAGCAGCGACGGCGATATTGGTCGCTGCTTGATCATCTTGTCTTGTGGTGTTCTCTATGACCACGTCTCCTGTTCTCGAGCGGATGGGGAACGCTCTGCTGTTGCTGCTGGTCGGATCTCGCGCAAAAGACAGCACACAGGCCGGATGGTATGTAATGCTGTGTGTGGAGACGTGTACGCAGACCGCGCCTGGCAGCTTTTTCGTTCACAAGAACATTTTGGGGCCCGCGCATGACAAAAAAAAAATACCCCATACAAGTGTATGTTCATGGCTGCGAAGTCCCCTCCACGAGAACAGACGTTCAGCACACAGCAGTCGCTAGGTACCTCTCTGTTCGCGAGGGAGGCGCCTTATCCTGCACCAAGAAGGGCTCCAATCACCATGGTGTCGGCATTCGACGTTGAACTGTGAGATATTTGGGGACGTGTGTGGTTTCTTTCCTACGTTGCCTGCTGTCGGTGTCGGCTGGCTGTTTGAAATTCCAATCTCTCCAACGCCCGTTCGTGGAAGTACACGTCATATCTTTGTGAACGTTTCTCGTTCGAGCTCCTCGGGGGCTGTGTTTGCTCAGTACAGCGTGTTTGCTCAGTATACCCCGCCTGACTCTTGCTACCTTGCTGATGCCCTACATGACCCAGCTCACCGAGCTCCGAGAGCACAACTCTCGCCACGTGCATCAACTCAACTACAATGTACAGGAGTAGATTTTGGCCCTCACCCAAAAAAGAAACGGACAAGGAACGATGGTATCCAGGCTGTTACACCTAACAATCCATGTCGACGACAACGCGCTGTTAATTTGGGAAACACCACCCGTCCTTACAGATGGCGTGAAAGCACTGCCGCCGCACCCCGCGTCTCGCTGGCTCTGCTTTTGCCCTCAACGCCGCCCCCATCCCTCTCCGTCGAATCGTCGTCATCATCAGGCCGTTTCCCGTGCGGGATGGCAGACGACGTCGGCTTAGCATCAACGAGGTGGCTACGTACAGAGACATCGCTCTGACCCGCGGGCACGCCGGCAAGGCGCTCGGAAAGGCCAAGAGGGCCCTGAAGATGGGGACCGTGGAGGCGGCAAGGCTTGTAGACATCATGCGGCAGGTATGCAAAAGTGGTGTTGCACAAACTTATCCGCTGTACAGCAAGTACGGCCAGCAACTGCGGTCTACAAATGTGCCGACGGATGCTAAACGTACATGGTCTCCTGCTGATAGCTCCTGTGAACGAGGGTAGACAACCCTCACCCCCACCGGCGTTACTGCACCTTAAGTGGAAGGCGTCCGATAGACCCCTTTTATCATGACCGTTGAAGTGGGCAGACTACTGCTGTAGTCTAGATGATGTTCGAACAGCAGCAGCAACCAGCCTACCCACCTGATGTTGCCTACCCACCTGATGTTCCCCATTATTGGTACAGCAGTGTATTATTGTCCATTTTTGCGTCTTTTTCTGACAGCCCTATCTACTATATACACAAGGACCACGGGGAAGACTACGTGTCTTTGCCACAACATTCCCATGACCATTCGACCAGACCCACGTGTTCATCCAGCGTCGAGCCTTGTATCTACCTCCTGTCACACTAGGATGACGGACACATTGTTCATTTGGACTACATATTGTCGTACAGCAGTACGTACGACGATGGTAAATTATCGCTAACATGCAAAACAGATCCGTAGCTGGCGGGGTGGACATCGAAAACAATAATGATGACTGAGCGAATGCAAATACGTACAATAGCCGCCGTGCTTGCTTGCACCCCTTCTCGCGACGTAGGATTTGTAGACGGTATCCCCCGCCGCTGCGTGCTGGTGGTGAGGGCCATTGTTGCTGGGGCGCCACTTGCAAACTGGTGCTGTAGCGCTTAAGAATGCTCTCGGAGATGTTTGCGTCCTCCCGCTTCTGCTGGGCTTGCGCAGTACTTGTGGTATTGTGCGCACAAGTCCACCACCCGTATGGTGTGCGGACGCCCTCTCTTGAATTGAAAGTTGGCTGCCGCTGCTGTTTCTTGTTATTTTTTTTGTGAGTGGTGCAACGTTGTAGAACACACGATGCGCTGACTAAAGTGCTCCGATAGCGGGAGGTGTTGCTCCCACGCGTACCTAGCAGTGTTTAGCGAGGCACAAACAAGTTTTGCTCACGAGCCCGACAAACGCGACAGCATCGTGTGTGTTTTCATCCCCTTTAATTCTGACCTCCAGCCATACACCTCTCCCGGCATGCCTGGGCAGAATAAAAAAGACTTTTGAGAAGACAGGAAAACTGATCATCGATTTATTTGGTCTGACGCTGCCGCTGCTGCTTCTGCTGCTGGTGCTTGTGCTACTTCTACTGCTGTTCCTGCTGCTGCTGCTCCTGCACAGGTTGACGTGTCGGCTGCAGGGTCGCTGGGACGGTTCGATTTCTCGCTCGCCCTGGACCGAGCCGGGGTGGAGTTGCCAGCAGAAGACAAGGACGCCCTATTTCGGTCGCTGTCTTCGGCGAGGACGGCGGGGACCGGATGCGACATCGAGATGTTCGCCTATCTAGTCAACTTCTGGGCCGGGTGAGAGGCTTGCGACGAGGACTTTTTTTTCTTCCTCTCTGCTCTCTCGCAAGCAGGGGCTCCGTTGTTGTTGACTTGTTCGGGTAGGGTTTGCGATGACGACTGAATGCCTGCTTGCTCTCTCAGAGCGTGCTCCGTTGCTGTTGGTATTGGTGTTGTTGGTTCCCGTTGTTCTTTCGATCGGGTTCAACCGCACGCACAAGCAGTGTGCTCTAGTATCCGCCGTAGCAGGCGGCGTGTTCGCGCACCACACGACGCGCGTAGACAAGCATTCTGCTGTACTTTCCGCCGTCCGGAAAGACGACTTTGCAGTGTTGGTGTTTCTTACAGAAGCACCGCACCTGTAGAGCCAAGGTGACGTCCATGTGGGGTGCGGTGTGTAGAAGCCGGAGTCAAACCATAAGACCTGTCAGCATTTAGAAGCCGAAGCCAAACCACTAGACCAGTCAGCCCGCTGACGTAGTCTAACGGTTTGACTTCGACTTCTAAACACCGTCCCACACATGGACGTACCCGTGACTCTCGGCTGGCCGCGCCGGACTAACAAATCCCCGGCGGCACTCATCCCCACTCCCCCAGCCGAAGCGAGGGAGAAGCCACGACGCCTGTCGCCATGGCCGCGGGAAGGCGCGAGCGCGAGCAGGCCAGCCACCACATCTTCCCAGACAACCGTCAGCGGCGACCCGCCTCCCCCGCCCCCGCCGTTGGAGACCGGCGCGAAGAAGAAGCTTTCCCAGACATGAGGCGCGGCGGGAGCCTCCATGGCGGTGGGGACCAATCGGCAGCGGCGGCGGCGGCTGGGTTTCGGGATCATGCCGCTGGCGAAGGGGACAGCGGCAGCCCACCGGTGCCCTCGGGCCACCGGAGTTGTTGGGCCGACAACTTTGGCGTCGACAACGCTGCTGCTGGCATCAGGGCCAGTGAATCTCCGACGCTGAGGGGTGTCGGCGGCGTGGGAGCGGGAAACAACGCCGCTGCTACCGCCGCAGGCAAGCGGAACTCCTTCTCCGTCAACATGGGCGACATAATGAGCCACGTCGCCGTCAAAGACGGCCGCTCCTACCGCGGCGGCGGCGGCGGCGGCGGCCCTAGCGGATCGATCGGCGGCGAGGACCCCGGCCTCGAGTTTTCCCACGACAGCAGTCGCCAGAAGCACGAGGGTCTTGTCGCCGCCGACAGGCTTCCGCCGCCGCCGCCGGCGAGCGCGAGGGGGTCAGGGGGCTCTGAGATGGCGGGGGTGGACGGTGGCTGTGGCGTCGAAGACCGCCTCCCCGACCAGGCGTACCTGCACTCCCTCGGCTATGGGAACCTCGGGTCCGTGCTGCCGATTCTTCTCGATCGACGGTCGGCCTTGGAAGTGAGTCGTCGGGGACCGATCGGGCTCGCTTTTAATCTGGCTGCTGATTGGTGGTTTGACGGAGGTAGCGTTGTTTTCGTCGGCTTTTCTGGAAGCACGACGGTTTTACGTGGATCCGTCTTTTGAAGGACCAACCTCCCCCAAGTATCGGTAGTTTGGCGGTGTGGGTTATCCGATGAAAGACTCTGCAAGTAGTCTCATTTCGTTTGTCGCAAAACGGCGCTCTTTTACCCCCCCCCCAAAAAAATAAAATCTTGCTTGTTTCTGTCTTTTCCTGCTTGACTTTACGGCCCCAACGCAGACGTGTCTGGACAGGCTGGACCAAGGCGGGTCTGGGCGAGTGAGACCGGGAGATTTCATGGCGGCCGTTCGCCAGGTATACGAACAAAATATACAATCATGTAGTGTGAATATAGTGTTGTTAAAAAAAGTGGCATATAGTCTGGTGTTCCTCCCCATTTCGTGCACATTGATCGGCCGTGTGGGTAGGCCCTACTTGAAACTATAGCGGTGAGTGTCATATGGTACTGCTGTAGATGGCACAAGTTTTCGATGTTAGAATACCTTACGACCATTTTTATCTACCCACTGCTATCGTTCGCCCATGTGTTTGGTGATGTGCACGTGTATGTGCACATGTGTGGGCACGTGTGTTTCTTAAACTAGCATCGACCGCGCCAGCCGGTTGACCGATGAACAGGGGTCGGTGTCAGCGGGTAAAATGCTCAAGGCCCCGGGAAGGGGGGTCAAGATTCCAAGCATTGGCTTCGCTCGGAACGCCATAGTTACAAAATTACACCTCTCTACACAACCCTTTTCGCGTGTGCGTGTGCGAAGGTGGGGATCGCTCTGTCGGCTGTCCAAGAGTCCAACATGATGGACCTGTTGCACAGGATGGGCGCCGTAACGACGCCGCAGCCCAACCAGGACGGATGCCAGTGGGTGGAAGCGGCAGCGGCTGTGGCAGCCATTTCCCTCGCCGGCGAGAGGGCGGGAGGGCGCCGCTTCCTAGACAAGGTGCGACAAGAGTATACCGCCCAGCTTGGGGTTATCGGTCAGAGCTGTGCCACTACTAATTGCGTGGGGCGGGGGCAGGTGGGTGTAGGATAAGCTACGAGATGTTCGCTTTTAGGGTTGGGCAATGTCAAGCGGCATTGCCGACCAAGGCATTGCCGGCCGACAAGTTGAAAGGTCGAGTTGCCTTGCCTGGTCCAAGAGTATTGTAACAGGCACAATACGTGTTTTTCTTTTGTTGTGTGTCGGGTCTTGCTACCGGCATCCTGCCCGGCTTCCACCGTGGCGTGTTGTGAGGGAGACAGCAGCGTTCGTGAAGGAGCACGATTTGCTTGTTGTCACCTCCCTGAACGATTCGAAGGATGACGGCGCTGCGGCCGGCTGCTGGACCCAGTTTCTCGTGCCCGTCTGTCTTTGCTCGCACTAGCCGGGTGCTGGGCGTAAGGTTACCACGCGTTACCGTCTGCTTGGCTGAACTTTTCGTGATGAAAGTCCTCAACACAGGACTAGTTGCCAGCGACAAGGTATGAAATTCGCCGCCGGGACTATCATGTTTCACACTATGTTGGCGTCATTGTTCGCACCGCATGCTCTGGCGTTTGACTTGGTTCTTGGAAGCAGCCGAGGGGGGCGAGCGGGGTGGGGTTCCCTAGCTCTGGGTCTGCGTAGACGTTGTCTCGTTTTCCTGCATTGTTCTACTGCCGTTGGGTGGTAGTGGTAGGCTTCGGCCGTCCGACACCCGCAAAGGGCGGACACGCACCACCTCGCAGCTTGGTCTTTTTCCACGACCACATCCAAGACCACTTCCCCTTGAACCCTCCCCCCCCACACGTTGACCCCCGCGGTGTCCCTTTCCAAAGCAGCCTCGCTCTCCCGTCAAGGACGGCGCGCGCCTCCTCGACGCCCTGTCCGAGCGCTACGCGGACGTGCATGTCTCCCTGCTGCCTTCTTCGATTCTGCTGGGTCCCGGGGCCCTCGAGGAGCGACGGGCCGCTCCGGACGATGGTGCGGGGGGCGTTTTTGTAACGGCCGGGTCGCTGAGGAACGCCCTGAGGAAGGCCGGGGTCCTTCTCGGCGACGCCGACGAGCGAATGGTGAGTGTTGTTGTTGTTGTTGTTGTTGTTGTTGTTACTGTCGTCGTAGCCGGCTTTTTGGGGGGCACGGTTCTTGATTGGCTCGCGGGGAACTGCGTCGGATTTTTGTTATATATGCTGTCGTCGTTGTTGTTGTTGTTGTGATTTGCTGCACCACATGCACCGTAGATGCAAAGCTCAAGCCCGTTCGTTGCGATTTTATGCCCGCCCAACACCCTCCCCGGTGTTTGCCATCGGGGTTGGGTTTTCGTCGCTTGGCAGAGATGTTGTAAAACAAGCCGATCGCTTCGTGAGCTCGGCAACCAGGTTACCGCTTTTTTTGTACCTCTGTTTTTTGTTTGGGGCGGAAACCATAATGGTGGTCGAGTTGATTATGTTGTGCGGGGTCGAGAACCCTCACTCCGCGTAAGGGGATAATCGCATCACGTTGTGTTAAATTGGTCAAGCACCCTCGAGGCAGTTACACACTTGCTTATATCTGTCTCTGGAAGTGAAAACACCAGAAAGTAAATTAAGTCATACGTAGCTGTCATACGTACACAAGGAAGTAAGCACAAGTTGCCGAACACCCTTAGCAGGATGCAGCTCACCCTTCATGCGACTCGCCGAATACCTCACGGTGCTTCGCGCTTGGTGATGTGAGAGCCTGGTCCGGTGAGAACCCGGCGTGCTCCGTCCCGGCTTTGTAGGGATGCGGGGTCAATGGTCTAATGACTACGGCATGCACGACTATGAGTACCCCCCCCCCTCCCCCCCCAACGTTTCCGTCGCCAGCTGTGGCGACTGCTGCTGCGTCGGGGGCAGGAGACACTAGGGCGTAGCTGCGGCGTCATGGCGGACGGATCAGACCCGGATCGGACGGAGCATGAGGAGGAGGAAGCGAACGGGGCTGCGGCTGGGCTGTTGGCACAGGGCATGATCCCCCTGCCGCTACTGGACGCTGTGATGGGTTTCGACGCGGAGCAGGCGTTGCATGCCCGGCGGCAGCTGCAGCGCCTGGCAGAGGTGGGTTATGTAGTTGTTTTCCATGCGTTGAGTATAGCTTTTGTAGGGTAAGTTAGCCTGTGACGACGGGACTCGTCAAGTGTTAGATCAGATCAGTGCGGACAGACGAAGACACTGGCTAGAGAGATCGGAGCGGTTTTTAGCACAGTCGTGCCTCCAATACTAGATAGCGAGGGGTTTGAGCCGCGGGGTAGCCGACGCAATACCTTGCAGCAGTCTAGGTATCTGTGATGCGTTTTGCGGCGGCGGGTGCAGTCGATCATTTTGAATCCGAGTCATGAACAAACAAAAACTTCAAAAAAAGTGCAACGAACGGCCAGTTGGGGGATTCGTGTGCATACAGCAGTACCGCTGGTGACACAAGGTACCACACCCTGGACCAATTTTCAAAGCTCGGTTGCTCCACACCACGAAGACTGGCGGGGTGCCGAAAATGTTGGTGTGCGCGAGCTGTGTGTATGCAACGTCTTGTGTGGCGGCTGATGGAGGCCACGGGGGCATAGGACCCGCAGAAGCTGAGGTGGCGAGAGTCGACAGTGGATGATGCAATGATGCATGCGAGACAAACACACCCTCTGACCAAAAAAAAAGAGAGGCTCGTCTTGTGCATTGTTTCCCGTGGCACAGTTTTTTTTCCCGGTAAACCATCTCCACACACAGAAGCAGCACCAATAACAAAGGTATCCGCCACGAGCTGTGTCCATACTCCGTCTTGTATGGCGACTATCACCGGCGAGGAGACTGTAGCACGCTCAGAAATTGCGATCGCAAGAGCACAGCCAGCCTGAGAAGAACCCGTCGCGTCTGGTGGAATCATCAGTTTGTATTTTTTTTTTCCCAGGCGCAGGTTTGGTTTACCGATGATCCCTCCCCACACACTGAAGCAACAGCAATGACAATGACATGACATCCGCCGCGAGCTGTGTGATACTTAAATGGTATGATACCCTCTTATATCTTATGTCGGAGCCACGACTGGTGCATCCTGTTGGAGGTTCTGGTTGGTTGTGAGGTAGATACCGTCGTTGGCACGAGGGCCAGATGACACCTCCGACGTGTGTGTGTCCCCTCCTCCAAGATCCTCGTCAAGATACGAAGGTCTAGCTCCGCTGTTTTTTTGAAAATATGCATACAGTTGTAGGGAAGACTACTGTACCCCGTTCGAGAGAACTACAATACAATCAGAAGGGGATGTGCTCAAGTCTTTGCTTTTTTTTTAACAAGATATGTGTTTGATCGTCATCTTGAGCGTGTTATTACCAATGTTTATACCTTCCACGGCGGTCTCGCCTTCCAACCCACGGAGGAGGTGTGTTCCAAACGCCGCACACTTTTGCCTCCCCCTTGTGTCTTTGCGTTGTTTATCGATGCTCCTCCTGTGGCAATGTGTCGTTTGTTGTTCTGCGTCCAGCATCCGCCGTCTTCGGTCCCCGCCGCCTACCGCGACCACCTGGGACCGTGGGCTTCGGCGGCGACTGGAACTCCGGGAGAGCAGGGTCAGAGGGGGGGGCAGGACAGCGACGACGCCCCGTTGTTGCTGCAGAAGGCTCGGTAAGGCGTCTGGCTCGGGTGGGGCGTTGTACAGTACAGGCCCGGAGAAAAAGAAAGATCAAAATATCGGGTCGAGGCTCAGTTTCTAATTTCGTCGCTACAGTATATAGTGGTAAGAGTTTTTGCATAGGATCCACCGGTGAGCTGTGCTTGTTGTTCGGCCACACGCGAGGTCGCCGATCGGAAGGGGCGAGAGGACAGGCAGGGAAACCTTGGATTCACGAGGCGTTGTTGTGGTTGCTCGCAAGAAGGAGTGTCGTTGCGCAACCGAACAAGAGCGAAGCGCTACCACGGCCAAGGTTTACGACTTGGTGGTATTCTTAACTACTCCCATATTTTCATTTTTTTTTTTTTCGTGAAAATTTGATCCTCTGTTTCTTAAAAAAACAAATGTTTCGTAACTGCGGGCCCGTGCTGTCGTCATATGTGGGGTAGACGCTTTTGTCGCGCAGCTCCTGGTCTAGAGATGCCTCGTGGTAGCGGTAGCGACGAATGACACAAGGGTAGCCCCCGAACGCCTGCTATCGCATGGAGTTTCCCTTAGGTTTTTCACGCCTTCGTACCTCGTGTGGCCTCGTGTCTCCTCCCTTTCGCCCTCTCTCTGATTCATACTGCTGTAGCCGCTTCAAAAACCATCCAACGAGTTAGCCCTGGGGAAAAAAAACGTACCTTGAGCTGCGAGTAAAAAACACCTCGGCAGCACGACCTAACCCCACCTCCCTACCTTCATTGCGTTTAAGTTTTCATGCTTAGCTCTGTTCCCCTTGTGCGCACACGCTTGTCAGGATTCGGGTGAAAGCCCTGGGCGACACGATGGCCGAACGCGAGAAGGCTGTCGTGAGATGCCTGCCAAAGCTCGGCCCCAATGGAGAGAGGCAGCGCCTGCCGCGCGTCGACCTGACGCGCCTGCTGCAGAAGCTGCGTGTGGGCGTGAGGTAACAAACCCAAAATCTCTTTTTCCCTCCGAGGCAGGCCCTTACCCTTACACCTAGGCGGCGGCGGTGGCTTTTCTCGTAGCAGAATGTCTGCATTGTGCACGGGGCTATTCGCGATATTCCCTTATGATTATGTTCTCGGTTGCTCTAAATGGAGATGGACAAGTCTTAGGCAAAAAACAAAATCATAGATGTTCGGGGCTCCCAGCACTCTATTGAATTGCCCTTGGGTTATTATTTTGACCAATACACACACACTAAGACTGATGTATTTCGCTGGTCAGCAGGTTAGCGCAGTCGACACTATCAAAGAAACATACACACCTCTACACACACACACAGGTCTGGCGAGCTACAGAACCTCTGGTACCACATGGACAGGAACAAGGTCACGCGGCAGGGGTTCCGCCGCATCCTCCTGGAGTCGACCGACAGCCTCCCCGTCACCTTCCCGGCCTCCCCCTGCCCCTACCCCGCGGCCTGGCCAATCGGCGGGGCCCCCTCCTCCTCCGACGCGCCTTCTTACGCCTCCGGGGATAAAACTCCCGAGGGAGGCGTTTCCGTGTCGGGGGCGAAGCTCCAGCGGGTGTTGAACCGCGCCGCGTACGAGGCTAACGTTCGCCACGGCGTCGCCGGGAGCGCAATGACTCGTGCTCTGCGGGAGGTCGAAGGAGGCAAGTGTGTCGGGGTTGGCGGCAAGAGTGTTTTTGTTTCGCCGCCCAGCATTTGGTTCTACTTTTTGTAGATAGCGTTGGAGTATTTCTTTCCTTTTTTTGTGACAGTTTACTGCTGTCAGTAGCTGTTTTTGTGTCCTCTGGATTGCACGAAAGCTGCGGGGGGGAGTTGCGACCTATCATTCTTTGTTATTCGTACGTGTAGTCTGCACGTTGTAAGACCGATTTGTGGCCCTCTCCTTCATCCCATGTTGACCAGCCCTTCGTTATGTACTGCTGTCCTTCCCCCGATGTGGATCCATGATAAATTTAACGCTACAAATAGTGTGGTGTTTCCCCCCGCAGCGCCCACCCCAAACGAACCAGCCCTCCGCAATTCTTTACTCCTCTTCGCGGGATCCCGCCGACTCAACACACGTCGCAGACGAAAGGGGCCGAGATGATGACTCCGCCGCCGCTGGTTCGGCATCGTCGTCGCCTGCTCTTGCTGCCGACAAAGGCAGTGCTGGTGGTGGTGGTGGTGCTGATGTTGATGCCGAAGACGAAGACGACGGTGGCATGCCCGTGCTCCTCCAACGGGCCGTGAGGAGGGTCAAGGAGTTGGACAACGGCGAGGTAAGGTCTTTGAAAATAGATCCAACGGGTGTGGCACCTTGTGCAACCTCCTTGCAGCAACATCACTATTCGTTTTTCGAAATGTTTTTTTTTTGTTTTCTCTGGTTGCTCTCCGACACTGCGCCTCTCAACGACAGTCCCAGATGCTCGAGGTTACGTTAAAACGTGCTCTGTTGCGACTCGCCTGGCAGGCAGAATCGATCGTCTCCCCTGCGCTGCCACCCCTCCCCTGCTCACACACCAAACGCCCTCCTGTCGTGTCCCCCGGTTTTCTGCACCGAGTTATTTCTTCCCCCCACACACACCCTTCTCCACTCGTGGCACACCGCGAAACACATAAATATCCGCCGATAATCATGTGAGCAGTAATGCATGCCGCCAGCAGTGCATGTACGCCAAGAAAACTTCTACCGCTGCTTGGATGGTGGGTGTTTTACAACTTTTTCTCTACTGCTGCTGCTGCTGCGGCTAAGATTTGAAACAGCTGTTACTCTACAGCTTTCTGTGAAGGGTCTCCTACTGCTGTCCTACAACCAAAGTTGTCAATTCGTCCACGTACTCCCTCTGCTGAGAAAAGTGGGGTAGGTCTACGCAGAACTAAATTTCCCATGGTCCACTGCAATCAAAATAGTTACCGAACACTGCGTGTCGACTCATTCTACCCCGTGAATCAGAACGGGATCTTGAGGTGTGTTCATTCCATGGCGCGGACCCCCCTGTTTGCTTGCACGTGCGGGAATAAGTGGATCTTGCTCTCGTTTTTCCTTAACTTAAAATACTTGTTGCTTGCTTTCCCCCCCCCTCGGCAAGCTCTCGATTCTTGTATGCTTTTGTGTTTCCGTTCACCCAGAATGCTTGTCACCTCCTTGTACCCCCCCCCCCCCCCCCTTCGCACAGGAAGTAGTGGCCGCTCTCGTACCCGACATGGGCCGCGTTAGGGAGGGCATGCGCATCACCAGGGGCGGCATCCAGCGCGTCCTTCACGGCCTTGGTGAGGAGTGGGTGCAGTGCGAGAAGGGGCCCGAGAACATTGCTGTTCGGGGTCGCTAAGCTGCTCTTCTTTGCCCCCTGACAAGCGTTTTTTGCTCTAATCGCGGGTTCCGTATGGCTCATGTATGTGGTCTGTCTCTCTTTAGGGCTCCGTGTTAGTTTTGTAAAGCGGCGGCGTGGTTGCTATCGTACCTGCAGTTTCATGTAGCGGAAGCCTTTATTCGACCCTGGCATGCGGATTCCTGCTGTTGTTTCTTTTTTTGTCTTGAAGGTTGGTGTGTAAATTTACCCCCCTTGTCTCGCTGTTTTTTTTTTCAGCGAAAAGGTCGAGCGTGATGGTTTATCCCGTGCTGTGTTTGACTTGCTATCGTGTCCAACGAAAGACCTTGCTGACCTTTGTGACTATCGTACTACTGCTGTCCTTTCTCGTAATGCTGGATACCCCCCACCCCCAGTTCTCCGTGCATGATTGATATTAGAAACAATCTCTCCGCCTCCCCCCCTCCCCCAGTTTTGAGCCTCCTTTGGCAGAGTAGGAAGGAACGATTGGCCATCGGTGATCGGTCCTGTGGCATTAAGGCACCGTCCTCTCGAGGACGCGTGGTCAATGGTCTAACCGCTAAGGCATGCAAAACATAAGAGTACGCCCCCCACCCCCGCCCCTCCCTCACGAAAAATGCGGCCACGCGAAATATGTGGCAGGCGTTATTCCACACTCGGGAGAACTGCAGCAGCTATGGTGGTGTCTCGAGAGGGGTGGTGTGGGTGACCCCAGGATTTCGGTGGAAGCTTTCCGCGACTTGCTCCAGGGTGAGGGGACCAGAAATTGGTGTTGCCACGGCCTTATGCCCCTGACGATCTACGTATCACCAGCCACTTCAGCTGACTTTACATTTTTATTCATCTACATCTATCCCATATATCCTGGACCTTGGGGACACAGCTTCGTAATGTTAAGCACAGTAGAGATCCCTTCTGTTAAGGCCGCTTTTAAGGCCGGTTGCCCTGTTTAAGGCTGCTGAAATTGCTTGGTACAGGTGGAATATGCGAGTTATCTCGTCCTCTGACTTGTGCCTTGTGGGTGCCCGATATAAGGCCAGAGATTTCCCTTGTACCATAGCGGCTTACACAAGGAACTCTACTGAATAGCGTACGTGATAACCTGCCTGACCCTTCGTTGCCGAGATACCATTGACGAATTCACCAATTACCGGATGTGAGGGGGGGGCTGGTTCCTTGTGTGTCCCCTGTTGCAGCGTTCCGTTTTGTGGTGTTGGCCTTACAGTACCCCCGAGGTGCGAAGAACGAAGGGTATGTTATGTTTCCTGTGTCCTCGTTCGTCGGTTGTGTCGATTAACCCGTGGTTGGGTTCAGCAGTAGCTTCGCCACTGACCGAAAGAGCAATAACGTTTGACTCAAGACCTCTCTATTGCTTATATATTGAGAGTGACAAAAGGCAAGACGGGCCCCGTGTATCATGTGTCATGTCCACATACACGTATCAACATCCACGTAACCCCCCCCCCCCCCCCCGAAGGCCCCTAAATCACTAATCTGGCCAGCACCCCCCCCAAAAGCCCGTGACTGGGGGGTCGTTTCCCTCCTGTTGATTCCCCTTGCGGAAAAAAAAGACCGGGCAAGGTTTCCCCGGAAGAATGTCTACCTATCACACCCCCTAAAACGTTTTTTAAAGCTCTCGATTGGTCTTCACC